ATGGAATTATTCTTGGTTGATTCCTTTGAAGGGCTTCACGGTAGCACGCGCCGACGCCTAGCATCCAACGCGGCCGAAGGCGTATGGAGGGAAACGGCAAAGGGCTTTGCGACGCGGACAATTTCGGGAGCAATGCGCCATTGGGTACCAGCGCGAGCGCAGGAGCCGGAGACCAATGTCGGTCGGAAAAGGGCGAGAAAGCTTGCCGGCTGCGACCCAAGGCTTTGCAATTGATGACTGGTAGCTTTGGTAGAGGTCGGGCACGGCCACGTCATCTGGCCAGCCAGTCATGAGTCGGAAGGCTCAGGCGCAAGAGAGCCATCGGGCATCGGTCGAGTTCATCAGATGCATCGATTGTGGCGGTGCAGTGGCATGATGAAAATGCCTTTCGAAGCTGTCGTCGAGTAGACAAGCTCGTTTTCGCGTCGTGTCGCGAGCGTCGCGATTCGTTGAGGGGTAGGCAGGTAGAGTTTTCGAGGCGCGCCAGGGAGCCACCAGCGCACACCAGCAAATAGGACGGACAAGTGGCGAAAAGGGAAAAGGCGCAAAAGGGTACAATTGCGTTAGGAGACTTACTTTTAAGCGCCCGCAAAACAACCGTAAATCTCTTGACAATATCCGAAACACGCACAAGGGAAAACTCGCAGTAGCCTTGACGGAAGGGGAGGGGAAGGAAAAGATGTGGAAGGGAAAAGAAGGAAGGTTGCGCGAGGCAGCGATGTGATTTAGCTGGGTGCTGGGCAGGGAGCTGGGAGGTGGCTGTAAGTTACCTGTAACCCGGTTAGTGAGGGAAACTTCTCCGTTTGTTTGAGTGTTGCCAGATTTTTCGCGGGAGCAGTACTAGCAGCACTAACACTGGAGCCTGCCGACAAAGGCAACAAGAGGACAAGGCGCAAAAGTGGGTGGTGGTGCGAGGCTAGACCGTTTTGAGTGGCTGGTGGAACAAAAGCGAGGCTCATGCTGGGTCCAGCGAGGGAGGGTCACTGGGTCTTGCTGGGAGCCCCGCTGGGAGCAGGTAGGAAAAGGCAGGTAACAAGAACGAAAAAGAAACAGGGGGATGGGATAATGAGGTGTATGGAGAGCAGCTAGCAGAAAAGTAGCAGAACAGCAGCAACGGAAGTGACAGCCAAAAGAAAGCTTCAGTGGCTCACAGAGCTTGACTGCGCTAAAATGGTTCTGCGGACCCACCAAAGCCAGAGCCCACCGACATCAGCCACTGAGGTGCTCAACCAAGTGCCTGTTGTTCTTGCTGGCCGATCGTTGTATCGTCGACGGATGGATGGATGCCTGGCAAATCTGGCACCTGGAAATGTTTCTTACCTCCTTCTTCTTGCTCGTTGGACAATACCCACAAGGATCGACCGCGGCAGCGTTTCTTGGTTTCAGCAAAAGGTCCAAGATTGGCTTGAGTGTCTGGCTCTGTTCGTATCAGGACCATGTATCGCAATGCAAACGCAGCGGGTAGCTCGGGACGGGGCACAGCGTACACGTCCGAGACAGCACACAGCCCTTTCACTCGACAAACTCGCTGTACGGTACAACAGCCGCAGCACGACAGTCGAGCCGTGTGGATCAAGGTTGTGCAGGGCGGCCGGTCAGCAGTGGGTGAAGCAGCGCGACGCAATGCACGGATGGGGATCGAATAGAGCAGGGTGCGAGCAGGCAATGTCAGACGAAGAGGCGACGACGGGCAGAAGGATAACGAATTTCAATCACGAAAGCAATTTCACGATGTAGGAGCAAGAAGGGAGACAAGAGGGGACAGAGACGGCCGGGCCAGAAGCGGGCAGCGGCTCGGAGGCCACATAGTCATTGCTTTCGATCCGCTCGAGGCAATTGGCAGTTGTCCGACACACCTGGAAGGCGAGCCGTGTGAACCATGTGCGATACGGTGCCAGAGCCGTGCCAGTCTACCACCAGAACAGGTAGAGAAGGTAGAGAAGTGACATTGATGCCGCCGCCGTGGCACAAGCGACTGCAACCACTACGAGCTAGATGCAGTTGGTGGGTGGCCCATTGATATCGACTAAAACAGCCATAGAAGACTCGGCCAGTTACACAGGCGTATCTGGATGGCCACCTGGTTTACCCATGTTCAGCCAGCAGCCAAGTAGCACTGGTCAGAATATTGCCTACGACCTACGGATACAATTCTGTCAATTGTCTGGGCCAGACGGCCGGCCGGGAATGGCTTAGCGTAAGCAAGTCCTAGGTAGGAGGTACATACGGATAGATAACTGGGCTCTAAAATCTTTCAAAGTTAACCGTGGCTCTGCGACTGGTGGGCAAATCGCCCTGACACCTCCGTTTGCGGTTCCTGGCATCATCATTCATCATGCACATGCACGCTCGTATCAGACCAAGCCACCCTTGATAAACACCCAGCCAATCTTTGGCTCTCGTGCCCTTTTCCGGCTAGCAGCCAATGTCGACTCTGAAACACAAGCCATGCCACGCACCACGGCTGCAAAGAACCAGTCCAAGCCACGCCGCCGCCGGCCGGTTCCTGCGGCTGCCGTGCTCAGGCCCGGCATCAATTCGGATTTTTTTTAGGATTTTTGTACCAGTACAATGATTATAGTTAAAAGTCTATCAACATACATGTGCGTCTACGTTTTTACATACCAACGTCACCAAATTCTCTAGTAGCTTCCATGTTCACACAGCAGAGCTCACCACAAAGGTCAGAGCCCGCACCGGCGCTGTGCTTTTTTACTAGTGTTCATTTTTAATTATAAGGTGCTAAAAAATATAGATTTTAGTGGATCGCCATCTAACCAGTCACAGCTTCCAATTCGATTCGTTTCCCTTTAATACCGCTGTTGGCTTCGATTCGACATTCTTCCTCCCTCACGACACAAGCACCGCCCCTCTCCCACAACGTGACTCATTCCATCTGCGCGTCATTCAGGCACAGGATACTCCGTTTGTCCCGTCTCCTCATTTACCGCCAACCCTAAAAAGAGCTTTCTGCAACCAAGCGCCTCGGCATGAATCAAGAGCTCCATCCTCCATCCTGTCGCCGTTTAGAGTTTACACCCGCTGACAGGTAACCATCCACGCTCTGTTATAACGAGACGATGCCTTGCCACCTTTCCGCCCTCAATAAGTATGTACCACAGTAGCTACCATCCGGCCTGTGGCTATGCCTCCCTCGCCTGGCCGATCCCATTCCCGGTGGCTGATGCTGCCACAGTGCCCATCAAAGGAACAGTTCCAGGGCTTTCTGATAATACCGAGAATGCCCTCGCCATTAAAAGCCTAACTACCGCGCGACACATCTCAAATTACAAGGAACACATTGCTTCTTCCAGTCTCCCTGCAGGAAACGAATCAAAACGCGCGTGATCTGGCATCTGATGGGATGGAACATGGATCCATCCCCGGCTTCCTTGCACCACCCACAACTATGTAAACCTAAATCGCGTTCGAGTACCGAGACACCCGGCCTTTCCAGCTGCACAGGCATTGTTACACCCCTGTGGTTTCTCGCCCGTCTCTCCCCTTTCTGTGAGCGACATAACTAACGTTCCTCGCAAATTCTTTACGATTCCCGTCATAGCTACCCCAGCAAGCTTCCAGCTGATGCCTCCAACTCGTCGTATGTATCATTCCACAGGCACTCAATGGACAGTCTTGGCAGGGAGTGCCAACGCTTTACTCGAGCAACAGTATCTATGCTTGTTCGTATCACAAGAGGCAGTAATTCTCACTCGCCCCCATTGGCTCATAAGTAGCTCATCCTGCTTCTCATAGCACGTCAGTTTTCCATCAGGACGCCACAGATCCGCCTAAGTAGGGCCGGTCAGTTGCTTTTCTTAACACCGCCACTCAAGAAAGGTGACACCCCACCAATTGAGAGCCACGAAGGTAGCAAAGGGCGTGATGGGTTCTTAGTTAGTAATGAGTTCTGTGACTTAAATGCACTGGCTCTGGTCTTGGTTGTGGTGAGCGTGGTGAGCTACTCCCATATTCAACAGCGTCTACCAACCATCAGGGTACAGCTACCTATCACTTGCTAACACCTGTCACTCGCAAGTATATCTATATCGTGTGTAGTTCGGACAAATACCAGGAAATTCGCCAGCTCGGCCTGGGAGAGTGTACGCACTACTTTTGTTTCGTATATGCTCGACAGCTTTCCCAGAGTTCCCAAGTTTCTGGAGAGTGATTTTATTTGTCAAGCTGGGGGCTGGCCGGGGCGCTGTCAAGGGGTGCCACACCTCGCACCAAGCGAGGGGCAGCTCATGTTGCCACAATGTCACAAATGCACAATGTTGCGCATGCCAATGGCCGAAACACTCGGGGCACACAAGTAGTCGCAGTTATTTTCGGCTTTTGCCATTAACTAGTTGTTAGCAGCTTCGAAAGCTCGACATCTGCTACAACGTGTCATCTGACAGCTGCGGAACGGGAAGCCAAGCTATGCTGTTTCTTCGAGAATCAAGACTAATAATGCAGAGGCTGCAGACTGAAAGCTCTGTTGGGTTCAGGAAGCAAATAGCGCAGCCCAATGCCGAGGGCCGTCTCCAGTGCCAGTTTTCCGTGTGCACTCACTGTACGACCTTATTGATTTGGCGACTAAGGAATCTGATGGTCATTCATACATGGACACGCAAAGAATTTTCAAAAACGCTTCAACTTGGGTACCTAAGAAGATGGATCTCATGGATCTCCTATTAATCCATCTTTTGAGAGGTTTTGTACGCCGCTGGTGAGTCCAACCGCTGTTTGACAGACCTGGTTCCAAAGCTGAAGCGATGCTGCTTAGTCAGTTTTGCATGTCGTAAACATTGTCGCCTGCCAGGCCGCAGCGGTCTACATCATCAAACGTCGGGTTGCTGTTTGCCATCTCAAAGTCTGTAACGTAAAACTGCTGCTTATTCCATTTCTCTTTCTGGCATTCATCAGGCGTTTGTCATGTTGAGCGTATCATTGCGCTATCGAGTATAGATTTGATTCCCGCACTCTCCCCCGCGCAAACAGCCTCGTGGTGCGTCATGGCTGCGCCGTCCACTGAGCAAAAAGAGCTACAGCTCGTCGAGACTGTCGAGTTCAAAATCCTCGGCGTCGCCAACAAGGAAAACAAGCTTCATGAGCTGCTACAACGCTACTTGACGCCCTTGATACTCAAAGCCGCCAGCGATCATGCCAGTGTCCGCGGCAGGGTATGATGCAGATGGGCCGAGCTATCTATCCGGTAATCTAACATGCTACAAGGTTATTCAAATATTGGCACGTCTAAAAACCTTTATCCAGCCACCGCAGTATGTAGCCGCAAGCCTGTAGGAGACGAGTAATTGCTTACGGTTCACAGAGTCATCTTGCCCGTCAAGGCCCTGTTACAGCAGTACAGGACAACCGACTCCGTTGTCATCAAGCAGCTGGATCTTTCCTTCATTTTGCATAGCCTCGACCGGACTGATGTAGAGGACCGGCGCGGTTTCCTCCCAATCGCACTCAAGGGCCTCGCGGCAGACCAGAACCAGCCGCGAGCTGCCACTATTCTCAACATTATCCTTCGGCTCATTCTGGATGTAAAAATACCGTCGCGCGGGAGCAAGGATGACGAAGCTTTCAAGCTTTCACTGGGTCTTGAGGATGCGGCCGACGCAAAGTACCTAGCCTACCTCCTCGGCATCTTTCTTCGACTACGGGCGGCCACGGGTTCCCAAACCCTAGCCCAGTCTAATCCCACCCTATCGAGCTTGGAGCTGGCTCTTTTCCCGGCCGAGAGCGCAGAGACGGAAAAGCTTCTCCGGCGTATATCCGAGCTCAAGATCAAGGTCGTCACTCTGCTTGCAAGCGCTGCCTTTACCGATGAAGAAAAGTTTCTGCCTGCCCTCTACGCGGCTGCCAGCTTTGATGGCAGAGTGGCCTCCTCCGGCGAGGAGATTATCAAGAGAAGCTCAGTTTCATTGGAAGATACAGGACTCGTTGAGCGTCTTTTTGCTGCGCATGGCTCGCTCCCCGCTGCCAACCGCACTCGGATCCTCGGTATGCTGACAAAGTCGGCCATTTCGACAACTATGACGGACAATATCGTGAAAGTCGTGACGCTCGACTTCATGCCGCCACAGGAGGAATCTTCGTCAAACTCGTTACAGCCCTTGAGCGTCCTCGAACGGACCAAACTTCACAAAGCTCTCTTCCAGTACTTATCTTGGGTCGCCCACATTGGCCCGTCCAAGCGAGATTTCACGATTGGTCCACAACTAATTCAAAAAATGCGAGAATACGTTGAAAGCCAGGGCTGGCCTCTTGCCGAGTCTGCTACAAGTGATGATATCAATCTCCGCTCACGCGCGTATGAGACAATTGGGCTCCTGGCACGAAGCGCAGACATGCCCACAGACAACAAGCTTGACCTTGCTGCATGGCTCTTCCGCTCACTGTCGGAAGACTCGACCAACGATGCCATTGTCAACATCGATGGCGCACTCTCCAGTTTGACTGCAAATATTGAACCCAGCACCACAGCCGGCAACTTGATGTTCAGAACAATGTTGCTCACATACATGTCCCTTACCGATGAACCCCCCGTCGTACGCAGCACGCGCCATGCTGTTGTCAAGTGGGCGAATCAATGCCTTGAATTTTCCGATGTCTACGCCAGGTGGATTGATATCCTGGCCATTGCTGGTCAGTACAACGAACGCAATGATGTCATCGAGCAGGGTCACAAAGGTCTTGATCCCTGGACCTACCTCGCTCACAACCAAGCCACCGCGAAACTACCCAACTGGAAGGAGATGGTCATGACATACTTTGATTCGCTCGTCGAGCCAGCGCCCGTGGCGAGCGGGCAATCCATTAATGGGCTGCCGACGTTGCCCGCTCGTCCGGTATTTCAGAACTTTCACGGGCCGCGAATTCTCGCCTTTCCCGTCGCCTTGAAGTACTGCAAGAACCTCATGTTTCTTTCTGCACTCGATGACTTTACTGTCCAGCCGGATTGGATGCAAGCCCTCAGCGCGCAGCTTAAAAATGACATCAAGACCCAGAATCAGGTCCGTGCATATCTGCAAAAGGTGGATTCGAAAGAGCTCGTCTTTTATCTCCAGGCATGTCTGGATGGTGCTTTTGCGGACGACTCCCCAATTGTGGAGGACTGCATCCGCTGCTTTGTCGAAGTCGCGTCGCTCGCCCAGGCCGAGACCATAGCCCTTCTCGCGGGGCATACGATGGGCCTACTTCCTCTCGTCAAATCGAATAACCGAGAAATCAGAACCTTGGCTGCCAAGGCTATGGGAATACTGGCCGCCCACCCAGTGAATAGTATTGACGCCGTCTCCAACCTTTCCGTCACTCTACACAGCTTCTTTGACAATGCGCAGAGAAAGGTTGGCCCCGATCTAAATGCTGCAGAGGGTGCATTGACGGCATTCGGCCATTTACAATCTCGTTGCGTCTATTATAATCGCGATATCCCCGAGACTACATACCCGCTGTCGTATCTGGCAGATGAGTCTACAGCAGCTTCGCTTTTCGAGGCAGCTCTCGACTCCTTTGCTCAGCTCTGGTCTGCCAAATTGTCCATTCCTCTATTAGAAGGTGATCATAGCTTGGAAATCATCATCAAGAGACTGGCAGCACAAGCCAAGAAGGGCAACGAGCGTGCTATCGCTGCACTAGGGCGTCTTGCGTCTGCCATCGATCTCGAGGAATCTCGACAGGCGAGCTCCACCAGTCCAGAATGGGAACATGGCACACTGGGCACGATCCTCAAAGACCTCTTTGCTCTCCATGAAATAAAGCAGGTTGAGATTCACTTCACCGTAGGAGAAGCCATAGCGGCAGCCATTGGTCGATGGGACTCTGACCAGGTCAAGCTTGGCATGGACGTGGACTGCCAGGGCAACGAGTTTCAGGGCAAAGCTCGAACCTCCATCATTTCTTCAGTACTTGACAAGCTGTTTGCCGACTGTAAAGGCACCAAGCCTTCTCTACTCAAGGCCTCTGGTATCTGGTTGTTTTGCATTGTTCAGTACTGCTCCCATATTGAGCAGGTTCAGTCTCGTCTTCGTGAAGCGCAGGGTGCCTTTATGCGCTTGTTGAACGCGCGCGATGAGCTCGTACAAGAGACGGCTTCTCGTGGTCTGTCTCTTGTCTACGAACGAGGCGATGCCGAACTCAAGTCTACACTGGTTAAGGATCTGGTGTCTGCTTTTACAGGCTCCAGCACGCAGCTCAAAGTGGAGGAAGACACAGAGCTATTTGAGCCTGGTGCTCTGCCCACTGGCGAGGGCAACTCGGTCACATCGTACAAGGATATTGTCAGTCTCGCAAACGAGGTCGGCGATCAACGATTGGTCTACAAATTCATGTCCCTTGCTGCCAATGCCGCGACTTGGTCTACGCGATCTGCGTTTGGCCGGTTTGGACTAAGCAACCTCTTGTCAGAGTCCGAAGTCGACCCAAAGCTGTACCCCAAGCTCTACAGGTATCGCTTTGATCCGAATTCTAATGTCCAGAAGTCCATGGATGATATTTGGAAGTCCCTCGTCAAGGACTCCAATGCCACTATAGATGAGCACTTTGAAGCCATCATGGAAGATTTGTTGAAGAGTATTCTTGGTCGCGAGTGGCGCATGCGCGAAGCTAGCTGCGCCGCTGTTGCCGAGCTTGTCCACGGTCGCCCGTTCGTGCAGTATGAGAAATATTATCGCGATGTATGGACTGCCGCGCTCAAAGTTCTTGATGACGTCAAGGGCAGTGTGCGTGAAGCAGCACTGAAGCTCTGCATGGGACTCTCCAACGGTCTTGTGCGCCAATTAGAGGAGAGTAACCACAGTGCAGCCGCCAAGGCCATGATGAAAGAAGCGCTTCCTTTCCTGCTCTCTGAAAAAGGCATCGAGAATACTGTGCAGGACGTGCAAATTTTTGCCACAATTACCGTCATGAAGATTTGCAAGCACGGCGGCGTGTCCCTGCGCCCCTTTATACCAGAGATTGTCTCCCACATGCTCGGCCTGCTGAGCACAATCGAGCCGGAGCAAATCAACTGGCATTACCAGCGTGCCGGTGACGAGAGTCGCGACAAGATTGACAAGCTGCGCTCGCAAATGGTAAACCAGTCGCCCATCTCCGAGGCCATTGAAAACTGTCTACGCTTCGTCGATGCCGATGTCATGCTGCAACTGGCCCCACGACTCGAGGCCACGATCAAAACTGCGATTGGTATGCCGACCAAGATTGGGTGCAGCCGCGTTCTGACGACGCTGTTTACGCGACACACCAACGACATCAAGCCGCTGTCGGGCAGATTCCTGAAGGTGCTTGAAAAGCAGACCCTGGAGAAGAATGACGAGGTCAGTCAGGCATATGCCCGAGCGGCTGCGTACATCATGAGGGTCGTGGAAGACGCGGACCGACAACGCTTCTGCCGCGGTCTGGTGGAGCTCTACTTCAACGGCGAGGACGAGAGTCGACGCCAAAAAGTAGCCGACGTCGTCGTCTCCCTGGCCAAGATCTCGCCCGACCACTTTTCCAGCCAGGAAGCCGACCTGCTGCCGTTTGCCTACCTCGGCGCGCACGACACGGACGAGTACGCCAGCAAGGTGTTCAGCGAGGTCTGGAGCCAGCACGCCGGCAGCAGCCGCACCGTCATGCGCTACATCCCCGAGATTGTCGCCCTCGTCGAGCGCTGCCTCGCCACGACGCAGTGGGCGCTGCGCCACACGGGCGCCTTCACCATTGCCGCGGCCGTCGCGGACGTGGTGAGCGCCACCGAGATGACGGGCGGCGTCGGCGCGCCCAACGGCCAGGCGCTCTGGCCGGCGTTTGACAAGGCCCTGGCGCTCAAGACGTTTCCCGGCAAGGAAAAGGTGCTCGCGTCGTTTCCCACCTTTGTCAAGAGCAGTCGGGCCTTTTGGCAGGCCAACGACGCCGTCGCCGCGCAAATGACAAAGGTCGCCCTCCGCGAAGCGAAGCGCACCAACGACGAGTACCGCCCGCACGCCGTGCACCGCCTGTGGGAGTATGCCCAGGCCCGGAGCGACCTCGACCTCTTGCGCGACATCACCGCCATTGCCACGCCGCTGCTGGACGCGCTCACCGACGAGAATAAGATGGACGTCGACGACTCCAAAGAGGACAAGCACCTCGACACGGCGCGCCACGCCCTCGAAGCCGTCGCGCGCGGCTACACCCGGTCGCCGTCGCGCGACGTCGCCGCCGTCGCCGCCGCTGTCCTGCACGCGCTGCAGCCGTACCTGGCGCACGAAAAGTTTGGCGCCATCAAGCGCCAAGTCTGGTACAAGTGCGTCGCCGACTTTATGACGGAGTCGGCCGCGCTCCAGAGCAAGCCAGCTGCCGGCGACGCCGGCGCTGCTGCGGAGACGTGGGCGGCGTATCTGGACAGTCTGGACCTGGACAAGGCAGAGACGGGCACGCACCCGCAGCGCGTGCAGCGCGTCGAGGCCGTCGCGGCGGCGCTCAAGGCGCACGAGGCGGGTGTGTTTGGGCCGCTGCTGGGAGGTGCAGCCAGGGCCACGTTGAAGGAGGCCGTGGAGCGGGCGGCGCGGGAGGAGAGAGCGACGGATGTGCAGCGGTTGTGGAAGAAGACTCTAGAGTTGCTCGGTTAGAATTTGCTACTGCGTTGGCTCAATACAAATAGAAATGTTCAATTGCTCTTTTCTATGCATCTTTAGTCCTGGAGCAAAATCACAAGACTTGAAACATGCATGGTGTAGAAGTGATGGGCAAGCCTGGATGACTTGGAAGATCAAAGTGAGAGAAAAAAAGGTGATAGGAATACCCGGCGGGTTGTTTATTGATACTAGGCTAACTCTACTTGAGCAAGGATACGCATAGCGACGAGTCGCAGACATTCAGGATACCTAATAAAACCAGCTCAACAACACAGACACCCTTGGCTAGACAGCTTCATTGCCCTTTGCAGCTTGTTTTGAAGGATTTGCCTGTCCAGCACGCAGTCTTCTGGTGACATAGCCCGGAGGCACCCAGTTAGAGCTGCTCCAGGCTTTGAGCTCGCTTTGGCCATACATGAGATTGACATGCTCCAGACTCAGTGTGCGGGACTCGTACAAAAAGAAATAGACAAGGAGGGCCGCAGCAAGGTTGGTGGCGACAAAGACAAAGCCGAATGCGTAGCCGATCCCATCAGTGGCAAGGGGTGTCAAGAAGCCAATCATGACTGCTCATATTAGCGCCTGTAATCTTGAAGAAAGGTCGGCACTTACAATTTCCAAGCCAGTTTCCTGCCGTGGCCAAAGAGGCTTGCTTTGCGCGGGTGCGAAGGGGGAAGGTCTCGCCAATAACGACCCAGGCCATTGGGCCCCATGTTCCAGCGAATGACGCAATAAACATACAGGCGCATACAATCATGATGATTCCAGTCTTGGGGTGTTGAGCCGGGGGTTTGACAAAACCAACAGCCGCAAAGATGAGCAGCCAAACAGCTTGCCAGATAGCACCAATGATCAAGGGCCACCGACGCCCAAACCTCTCCACGACGTAGAGTCCATAGAAGGTCATGAGCACATTGACGGAGCCGAGAATGAGCTGCGTGAGCATAGGGTCTTGAACACCAGCCGATTCAAAGATGCCGGCGCCATAGTAAAAGAAAAAGTTGATGCCGGACCACTGCTGCAAGAAATGGATACCGATGGCGAGCAGGGTCCTGTAGAGAACCTTGGGCGTGGTAGTCTTGGTCGAGAAGCATTCCAGCCAGGATCCTTGGCCAACTTGGTTCTCTTTCTCCAAAATCTGCCACATCTCGCCAATATCTTGTTCGATCAAGGGGTTTGTAAGATCGTCCTTTTTGCCTCGCAGGCGAGCGAGTGACAAGCGTGCCCCTGCCCAGTCGCCTTTCGAAGCAAGCCATCGAGGGGACTCTGGTACGGACATGATGCCGAGACCCAGAGGCACAGACATTAAAATGCCGATTCCAATGACAATGCGCCAGGATGCGTCGCTTTGTTCGAGGCTGCGGACGCTGTAGTTGAGTAGATTCGCGCTGAGGATGCCAATGGTAATCATGAGCTGGTATGAAGCCACAACTGCACCTCGAATTTCGCGCGGGGCCGACTCGGATTGGAACATGGGGACACCGACAGATAGATTGCCAATACCGAGGCCGGCGATGAATCGTCCCATCATCATATGAATCCAGCTGTGCATGGCGGTAATCTGAAGTATCCTACCAACAATAAAGACCGCCACGCCAAACGACATGCTCCTTCTTCTTCCCCACCAGTCGGAAGTGCTGTATCGTGTTAGCCAAGTTTTCAGAAGCCGGCCACAAGAGTCTTACTAGGCACCGGAAAGTGCACCGAACAGACAGCCAATGCTCATGAGGGAGACCAGGAGTGACTGGATGATAGCCTTCCACTCAAAGCTCCCGTCAGGTTGTTTAGTAGCAAAGCGTCTCTTAAAATCTTCGAACAATAGAATCCCCGAAATTTGGCCAATGTCGTAGCCAAAGAGCAAGCCTCCGATCGACGTCGTGGCACCGAGCAGGATGGCCTCTATGCCGACCTCTGCACCGTTGATGGTGATGGATCTATCAGGCGGCGGGTTAGATGAGTGACTACAAGTCATGTGCGGCACAGTATTCCACTCACTTTTGGCCAAACATGATGGCGGATAAAATTATAAAAACGCGGAGCAGAGCAGTGTTGAAGACAAGTCGACAGCCAGCAGCAGCTGCGAGATGCTCCGCCGGGATGGCGGCAGATAAATCAAGACACCAGAGATAGATTCAAAACTTGAAGAAACTAGGTTGGCCTCGGTTGGCATGACGGACGTGGAGAAGAATATGCCAGCATGTTTGTTGACTTTGCTCTTGCTCCTTGGCGGTACATTGAGGAAGGCGCAACCTGGCTTGTGGCGACACTGGTCGACAAAGTCCCGGACACGCTTTTTGCCGATTTTTCCCTGATTTTATTTTGTCACTTGAATCATGCATTGTCTACAAGAACGAATCCCCGGAGTAGTCGTAGAAATATCAGTCCTTTTTCCGTGTGGTCGTATTACCAGTGGCTGGTTCTGGAAGCAATTCTGCATCCGGCTCGTTTCCCGTCGCACCGACCGATGTACAGAGCGCGTGCGGTCATGGTGCCATTCATCCCTTACAAGTTCATCACTCGCAAGTACAAACGACTGCCATGCTGCTCCTGCTTCTCGGGATTCTTTTGTGCCATCAAAGGGCTCTCTCTGCATCATCCTACTGTGACTGACTGTAGGGTACGGGTTGGCGGGGCATGGCTGACTTGACTTGTTGCGTCATGCAAGCGGGCCAGAAGGGCGCCTGGCGAGTCGCGGTCGCGATTTGTCCCGTCAGAGAGACTTGAGGGGCAACGAACTGTAAACGGAACAAGCTTACCCCGTGTCGACGTGAATACCGCCGTTTGCTTTGTGGAATGACATCTCCTCCTCACATCAGCACCTGCCCACCACTTTTGCGGGAATGGTCTTTTTCAGCCCTCGCTTCGTTGCATCCTAGCTCTGGCGACGCCCTTGCGAGAAGCTAACTTGCCCACCTGGGGCAAACGGAACAACCCACCCTCGCCTTGCCGCACCCACCGCTGCTTCTTCTCTCTACAATTCACATTGCCTGCGCGGCCTCGACCACACATCACACGACGAACGACGCCCCGAGACTATTTCAACCTTGATTTACGGCTCAGAAAAGGCGCTGTACCCACTGCACCCGTCCTGCCATCGCTACCTAGTATCTAGTACGACAACATACTGCCGTCTATTCACCAGCACTACCCTTCGCCCCCAAAAACAGCCTTCGACGGTCAGGCACCTACTCACCGACAAGCAGGCAGGGGACCACTTGCATAGGATCCGATACATAGATTGGAAAAGGTAACCCCGGCAGCATGGACGAGGAAAACATTAGCAGCTTTGCTGGCATCACCGGCTCTAGCACCGATGTCGCTCGCGGGTTCCTCCAGATCGCCAATGACAACCTCGAACGTGCCATAGCCCTCTTCTTTGAGAACCCAGAGCTGGTATCTGGCATGAGCGCTGGTCTTTCTAGAACCACCACCGTCACTGCCACGGCGGTCCCCACGACTACATCGCGAGCTCGAGGCGGTGCTTCAAGAGCAGACCCGAGCGGCGTCATTCACATTCCTAGCGACGACGAAGAAATGGACGACAGCTACGCTGACAGTGGCGCCGAAGACACCGTAAACGACGATGACGACGACGACGACGACAGCGGCCACCAGGCAGCACTGCTGGCGGCCAACTACGCACAAGAGGATGAGGATGCCGCCATGGCCAGGAGACTACAAGAAGAGCTCTATCAGAGTGGCGGAGGCGGTGAAGGTCATGTGCGCGCCCCGATTGCGAGAACGACAGAGACGCTGGTGGCCCCGGGATCTGCCTGGGGACCGGATGATGATGCGGCTGTTTTGGAGAGCCTTCGACGGCGCCGACCGGGAGCGAGTAAGCAAGAAGGAGACTCCTGGTTGGAAGTTGGAATTGGTAGCTGACTGGAAAGCAGGAGGACGCGTTAGCGGCCCAACCGGTCCGTTTTCACAGCGTATATGGGGAGACGGTACCTCATCGGTAGGCGAGTCATCAGCCGGAAGAGCGGCCAACGGCACGCACGCGCGGCGACTGGAAGATTTGTTTCGCCCGCCATACGAGCTCATGGCTCGCATGTCGTGGGACGAGGCCCGTACGCTGGGCAAAGGCGACAGCAAATGGATCCTAGTCAACCTGCAGGACATGAGCGACTTTAACTGCCAGGCACTCAACCGCGATATCTGGAAGGATCAGTCCATCAAAGACCTGGTGTCGGAGAACTTCATTTTTCTGCAGTACGACAAAGATTACCCCGACGCAGAAGAGTACCTCACGTTTTACTTTCCCAACCGCACGCACGAGAACCCCGACAACTACCCGCACGTCTCCATCATTGACCCACGGACGGGCGAGCAGGTCAAGGTCTGGTCCGGGCGGCCGTTTCCTGGCGCGAGCGAGTTTCACGCCGAGCTGGCCGAGTTCCTGGACCGGTACAGCCTGGCGGCCAACAGCAAAAACCCCGTGGCCAAGCCTAGCGGGCCCAAGCCAGCCGTGGTTGACGTGGGCCGCATGACGGAGGAGGAGATGCTAGAGATGGCGCTCAAGAACAGTCTCAGCGGGCCCGGTGCGGGCGGCAGCGGCAGCAGCGGCGGCAATTCGACGTCGACACCCAGCATTCACGATCCAGACGCCCTCACCAAAGATCAGGGCAAGGCGGCCGAGGACTCGACAGCGGACGAGCCGAGCTCACGTGCGTTTGCGCAAATCTCATCGACGAATCCACATGCCGAGCCGGCCAACGACCCGGCGACGACGACGCGGATCCAGTTCCGGCACGCCAACGGCCGCGTGATTCGCCGCTTCCAGGTCACGGATACTGTACGGACGCTATTCGAGTGGCTCAAGGCCGAGCCGTTTGAAGGCAAAGAGGGAGTCGTGTTTGAGCTCAAGAAGATGCCGCAGGGCCAGGACCTAATGGAGACTCTCGAGGCCACGATTGAGGAGGCGGGGCTGAAGCAGGGCACGGTCATGATTGAGTTTATCGAGGACTAGGTTGGCTTGAAGGTTGCTGATCTGTGCCCCAGATGGAGGAGATAGACTAGATGCGGATGTGAAGAGGGCACAGAAGGCCTGGAATTTGCTCTCGGTGGGAAAATGGGATGTTGATATTGATTGGCAAGTGCGCAACTAGTCTTGAGGTGTTTTTACGAGTCGACTATTTTATATTATGAAATGACTCATGGTTCGTCTATGAAATTTATAGCAAGCGCAGTGGGCAAGATGTCTGTATACGAAGTATGACCTAGCCCTGAAGACACGATATTGCCCATGGCCATGACAGTCATACTAATTTGTATGAATGAAAAAAGTAGATAACGTTTGAAAGCAAGTCGTATTCTCTTAACTAATCTCACCCGCATTATCAACCGACTCCACCCATCATATCAAACGGCAAGCCCAGCCCGCCATCCCGCCCGTTCATGCACGGACGTTTTTGTCGCATTTCTGGGTTGGTTTTTTTGGCTTTGACCTTTTCTTTTTGCGCCGGCACATTGTTGGTTCTGGAACCGACAACGACATGTGTGGCGAAAAAGAACCCTTGTCTGCAAAAGACACGATGGGTCTGTGCCCAGCAGACAGGGTATGGTGCCATGTCTCACATGGAGCCTTGTTGACGACATGGGGTGCCTGTGACGCTTTTTCATGAGCAACGAACGCCCAACAAAAAACAAAGGGAAATAAGAAGAGGGATAAAGATGAGGAGAAGATGGTACTGCCAGTTTGCGATGCGTGTTGGTCTCGTCGTCGCTGGCTATCGTATATCCCCTTGCATCAGAGGGAAACGCGACATGGGTGCGGACATAGGGCTTATAAAAAAAAGCAAATATGGAATGCCGCAATGAAGCTCAGCTCGGGTTGTTCTTGCTAGGGTTGTTTTCTCGCCGTCGAGTGAGGAAACGTTTCTTGTCCCGAGATTGCAGTGTTGGTACGCTGAACTGCTATTTTCGCAAGTTTTTTTTTTTGTTTTTTAACAAACACTAGTTAGTGTAATTCGTATTGTTATTATCCTATAAGCTAGTTCGTGCTGCCCTGGCCAACATGATCGCCCTTCTTGATCCCTTGGCTCTGGCCTCCGCTGGCATTCATGCCCTCGAGGCCGGCGCCCTTTTCGGCGTCGGGCAGTGGCGCGGTGTTGTCGGCGCGGGCCACCTTGTCTGTCTGCAACCTTTGTTAATCGTGGTGATCAAAATAGCGCGCTTTTTTTTCGTACCTTGACGGCACCGGCACCGTGGATGATGGGGTGGCCGGCTTCTTCAAAAGGACCGTTGTGGGATGAGCCGTCTCCGTTGCGAGGCATGATGAGGGATAGGCTAAGGAGGAGGTTGTTGTTGAGGAGGGGATTTGAATGAATATTTGGTCAATTTGATAGTAGAGTGAATAGCTGAGTTGATTCGTAGATGAAAATTTTGATTCGAGTTCTAATGTTAACTAGTTGGACGTGGTTGCGTGGGTTGACAGGTGGGGATGGAACGTCACCGAGTATCATCATCGTCATACATTCGTCACGCTGGGTCTTTGCAAGTACAGCACGTACGCAAGAGTATTTCCAGAACGGGTTTAAAAGGGACTGAAATGGCTATATCAATGGAAAACCACCCAGGATTCTCCTCCCACTCTGCCAAGTTGTATTGCTGCCAATATCAGGTTGCTGTAGTTAGTTGGGCGTCTTGACCTTGATGTGTCCGACAACAGCCTTCTCCACAAAGCGTAGCCTGTCGACACTCTAGTAACAACGTCCGCTAGCCCTCTACTCCGATCGATGGTCACTTTGAAGAGTTACCAGTAATACGGAACCTCTGATGAGGGGCACGCGAATAACCCCGCCGTGACCTGTCAGAAGCGCCACTGTCGCAACCGGGCCACTGATCCCGAATCCTGCGGGACGTTTCGCACCAATTTTTTTTTTCATCGTAGTTCCATGATTCGCGCACCGCACCAGGTTTCGTGTCAGCACACTATGTGGCTGAAATCGGACCGCAGCTGCTGAAAAAAAAAAAAAGAAGGATGAAACAAGACATGGAAATTTTTTCTTATGCGACGCGAGCCCCCTGGTTCGAAAAGTACCAGTAATACGGAGTTACGGCTCGGGTGGTATTGGTAACTATTACTAAGTTACTGCCTGCATGCCGCCCCGACTAGGGCGTTGCTCATGCGCGCGTGTGGCTTGGACAGAGTCGCGGCGAATCCAGGGGGGTTCGTGGAACCTAGTCAGCGATCAGTCTTGTCGTCGTTGCAAAAAGGGAAAAGTGTAGGGTAATGTGCGTCGCAGCAAATCTCGATGACGGCGCTGGAAGAACGAGCATGAATCGCGGCTGCTGTTTACAGTGTCCGGTTGGAGAGGGCCAAGGATAGTAAACACAGCAGTCTCTAAAGGGTCCATGACGGCAACCATATCAAAAAGTCATGTCCCGCGGCATCAACAGCAATGTAATACGACCCTTCACGCGACTCATACCAGTACACAGGCAGATTCTACGGCATACGTATTCATACGCCATGCAGACCTGTCATGAGCTAATACGCACGAACCCAGCCCAGCCAGTCAGCCGGCCCAAGTAGCATGACCGACGTACGCACCGCATTCCCATGTCCGCGGCTATTTAGCACACGCGCAACCAACAACCCACTGCGTAACGTTATAACGTTATCGCACTTACCCACTCATCAGGCACATATATTCTGGTACATAATAATATATACCAGCAACATGGGACGACGGGTGCCCGCCCACCCACCGGGGCGACCATGGCCATGATCCGCGACGGATACGACCCTTCCAGCCAGCCACGAAACCAACGACGGCAGCGAATGAAGAGCTTTTTCCCAGCCAAAATCGCGGCCCAGGTACTCTGTACACGGAGGTGAAGTGCCGGGCTCACGGGACGGGGGGAGGGAATACAAAAGTGCAAAGCTGAGCGGCACTCGACACCAAAGACGGCAGATGTTATCCGTATATTGCTCCCTTTTTTCTTTTTTTCGCCCGGCCGTGTTTTGGTTCCTGCATCAGCTGCCGATGGCGGATCACCGGGAGGCATGCCCGCCCGCAGCTCCCGAGAAGAAAGTTTTTCTTTCCTTTCTTGGGTTTCCCTGTCACCGCCATCAGCGATTTTATACTTTTTTTTTTCTTGCTGCCGTTTTGTTTCATTTAAAAATTTTCTTCCCTTTTTTTTTCATTTCGAGATGGGATGACCCCCCTGCTGGCTGTATGGATGGATGCACCAGCCCCTCGCTCCCGAGACGTTGGCTCTGCACAAGGTTGAAACGTCGAGTCATCATGTTAAATTTAGAAAAGATTAGAAAAGATGTTCTAGATCCTTCTCGTCGTCTATAGCTGACACTGCAAAGAAAAGAGATGAGAAAAAAAACGAAAAAAAGAAAACACAAACTTACATGGTCGTATCAATCGGCCCCTTTCACGGATATAACTGCCACCCCTGGTAGCATGGGCTTGGTCTTTTCAAATTCCATAAAAAAATAAAAAAGACATCCTCGTCAATAGCCCTTCCCGGCACACTGGATGACTGGGTCTGTCGTCGACCGCTCTTGCTTCTGCGAAATAGATTCCCTTGCTTTTTTCTTTGACTCGCCTTTTCAAGGGCCCAGTAAAAGCTTATAAGCTGCTCCGCCAGGTCCTTGTTGCCGCCGTTTAGTTTGTGTTTTATTTTTCCCTCCCTTGTCGAATTCGTAAATACCCTGGTATTTCATTTTCACATTTTCTTCTTCCAGCCAACGCGCGATTCCTCACCGCGACACCAGAATGGCTGTGTGCTTTCCTTCCTTGTGCGCCGGCGGAGCAACACGCTGCCGAAACGACCAATTTGACGCTTGCAACGAATCAGGTAATTGCAAGCTCCAAGCAACGTTCGGTGTGGTTGAGCTAGCTGTCCACTAGTCACGCCTCGTTCAAGTCGTCGTTGGTCAATCTCCTTCAATACCTAGTTAATTAGTTAGTAACGACCCTTCCATCCCAGTTCCATGGCAATACCTTCTATTCCCACCTGGGCGAGCAAAAACGCCTGGGCCTTCCAAGGACCCTGACCCTAGACCAGTCTGTCTTGGGATAAACTGGATTTATTCCCCAGAAAATTTCCTCTCCATTGCAACCAACATGGATTCACCCACCGCCAGAGAACCAAGTCTTGTCCAAGGCCGGCCCCAGTAGCAAAAACTTGTTCCAGAAGCCCAGCCACGGAACACCGAAAATCGTAGGGGGGAGACAACGGGACGCCTCTACGTCCGCGCCTCATTTTACTTGCCGCAAAAGCAAAATGCCTGTACAAGGTCGCCTGCAAGCTCTTCCTTCTTCCTTTGCCACTTGAAGGGAAAATAACGGAGAATCGACGCTCATCGAGCCCATCGAGCTCATCGAGAGTCGCCTCCTGTCTTGGTCGATACCCACTTCCGTTAATATTAGATTGGCCATCCTCACCCCCGTGTAAACCGTTGAAGGGGGGCCACGAAACGCACTTCTTTCCCTTCCTCTCGATTTTTTTTGACTTTTTTCAACGGCCCCATGTTTCCCGCCCTCTCGACCGCGATAGATGCACGGGGACGGCCCGAACACCAATGCTTTCCCGCCATTTGCCCTCCGGGCGCATGCGTCCCGGCCCGCCCGGGGGCTAGAGTTTTCGTATCAAGTTGCCCTTTTCGAGTCTCTCCCCGGCTGCCGGCAGTGGTGACGAGTGGTAGCGAGGATGCATGTGTGGGTGTGTGTGTGTGTGTCGTCTCTGGCCCAGCTGTCTGGTTGTTCCGGTGAGCCAATGGCCGTGCTCTCCGGGAACGCGGACACGAGATGTGTCGACTCATGATTTGCAAGGTGACAACCTGTCTCTCTCGCTTCCATCCCTATTTCGGTTGCCATTGCGCAGACAACAATGAAATAAACAAGAATTAAAACCCCAATCCTTGCCAGAAACGCAACCACCAGTGCCACCACCACCACCACCACACAGGCACCCACTCTCAAAGCGCCAACCCGCGCGGCGGGTAGCATTTCCGACCTGCCGGGCCCTGGCTTCAAGTTTCCACTTTCCTCTTCACTAAAAGAAGGACGACTCACGAGTAAGGAAGACAGACAACCCTACCAGAATGCGCCTGGGCCTGTTTTGGTTTGCTCCCACGACACCATTTTCGGTTTGGCACTTGTTTTGGCACTTTGTTGGGTGTGCGTCCCCTTTCCTCCCCTCCCCCCTGCCCAGTTGCTTCTTCTCCAAGGGGCCCAAAACCCTTTTGCCCATTCCCAAAAGGCCCAGAGCCCAACCAACCTGGACCACAAAGACAACACACCCCTGTCGATCTGGAACCCATGTTCGTCCTGGTCCGTCTGGCAGGCAGGCAGTGAGAGGAGAGAGTGAGGGAGCCCGCACAAGGTCAATAAGAAAAATAATAATACATACCCCCCCCAAAAAGCCGAAACGAAATTTAGAGTGAGGGTCTCAGCGCTGGCTTTTCACCTATTTTTTTTTCTTTTCCTCCAGGGGTTTGACAGAATTTCACCGCCGCTTCACTCTTTGACCGCAACATCGGTAGACCGTCCATGCGAATAAGTCCTTGTACCGGTAAGTAAGTGTAGGTGGTCTGTGAGCCAATGCTGGGAATGAGAGGCCTGGAAAGCCACGCGAGCTTCTGGTCCAAGTGGGAGGGGGGGTGGTGCTTCTCTTTTTCCCTCTTGTCCATGGATTTAAATATCCTCATGTCCCTCTTCTTGTCTTGCTTATTCCACCACTTCTCTCTCATCACTTCATTCCCTCTTGGCAGCTTCGCACGACTCCTCCTCTTCTTCAGCGCCCGCATCTGACTGTTGCTCCTCAGCTCCCTGCTCTGTCGCATACTCGCATATCCGCCTTATTACGTCAATCTGACTGCCGAACGCCGCTACTGTCTGCGCAACCGTACTCGACAGCAACGAACCACATAACCAAGAGCAGCCCAAGTCCACCCGGCCCGAGATCTTGTCGCGACACCTCGCACCAAACCTTTTACAATGGCACGCGGACCCTATGACACAACTGGCATCAACAAGCCCAGCAACCCTCAACCCGCCAAACCGAAATAACCATCTGGACCAAGGCGTGAACACAAAACACCCTCTTCACTCCGACTACTACACCACCTAGTACGTTCCATCCCGTCACCGTAAAATCCGGTGCGACTTGAACGACATTTTGGCTAACAATGACACAGATTTTGTACCAGTCAACCCTCTCATTTCCTACCTGTCGAAAAAAAAAGATAGACGGCGGCGTTTTGCTCTTTTCTTTTCCTTACGGAGAATAATATTCGGAGTGGGAAATATCCTCGAGGCCCTATTTTGCGCCACTCCCATACGGCTGGGCTGGCATCCGGTGCCGTGTGGGAGCAACCGGTGTCTCGTTGCTTTTTCCCTTTTCGGTCAGGAACAATAGATGGCGACGAAGCGCATGGGCGACCAGAAAAAAAGATTGTCGAATCACGAATACTATATAGACGGCGACACCGCCACTTGTTTTTAAAATCCATTCCTCGCGGAATGGTACTCGAAGAAAAAAAGGTGGACCAGGTTGGGCAAGGAAGCGGTTTCATGTGAGGAGCGAGACATGCTGCAACTTCGATCCTTGGGGGGCACTCGCGGGATGCAAAAATTGTTTGTTTTTTTCGGGCGCAGCTTGGACGGTTGTTTGTCGGCGCCCAATGCCAAAGACAAAAGAGCGTGATCGTCTCTTTCTTCTTCACATGGTGGGCGGGACGACAAAATAGGCAACCCTAAGTGGGAGAGCTTCATGCAACGTCATGCAGCTAGCGGACGCTCCCGCAGCAAGTGGGCAACCACTCGTTGGGCTGTGCGGGGATGGTCGTCAATGTCCCAAACTCGCAGGAACCGATTCTGGTCGGCTTGAGCCTAGTAGGCCAAGGCAGACGGCGTATGCGTTGCCTCAGACTTGTTCATCGCAGATATGTAAACCATTTCCTTATAATAGACTTGTTTTGTGCTTATCGTCTTGTCTCGATCCATGCGCCCCTAATCTCCATTCTTCTGCCTGAACAGGTCATGACAAGCCCAGAGCCTGGTGCGGAGCAGTGTGCTTCTATTAATATCAAAGCCGTCGAGTGCCATATCGGGCGGTAGCTCTCGGGACAGCGAGTGGTCCGTCGGCCGGAGGCCACAGGCAAGCATGCGCTGGCTCTGCATGCGGCCTTGTTGGCGTATCGACAGCGTCAGCTCTCCCAACACCATAAATCGGTCCTTCCAGACGACTTGCAGCAGCCTTCCCGCAGGTTCTAAACAGGACGGCAGATGGCCAGCCCCAAGGGGAGATAGATAGGTAGGTCGCTGTCGTCCGGCTGTTCGGAGGCGAACTGTCTCGGTGAAATAGTGCTTCAGCGGCTCCCACATACACAAGGGGCCGGCAAGGACATCATGTGCCATACAGCGAGCCAATGATATGCTTCTTCCATGGGATTGATGCGGAGCCGGAAACAAATGTCCGACATGTTTTTTGTTGTCCAACTCTCTCACCTGTGCAACACGGCATGCGGGCTGACGCAACACACACGGCCTGGCAGCCCCGCGCCTGTGTAGCAGTTGTGCATTCGAGATCTGACGTGGCCGCTCGTCGGCAGCAACATACGTGCAGCAAAGTTCGAGGATTCTATTGAGCTCACGCCTGCATGGAAGACGGGGGTGCCATGCCGCCGGCAGTTCAATAGGTTGTGTGTGACGACGCTGCATCTCGCATGCTGCAGCTTACCGGTGAGCAAACTTGGCAGTTCGGAATAAGGTTTGATGGCGACATTGTCATCTCGATTGATTACTCTGCATTGCGATTTCGCTTAACACGCCTTGGCATCATCTGTTGTTGTTAGGAAAGTGACCAGCCCTTGGCTTGCTGTCATGCTGAATCTGGTGGTTCAACGACTAGCTTAATAAAACTTGAGCGGGGAGCTGGACAAGAAATCATCATTCCTACAACAACACTCTCATACTTGAGCAGCCCGTCAGTCTCACAGCCTGAGACACGAAGTTGAGCCAAGTCGATCGACAGACCGAAACTGTACTCCGTACGGAAAATGATCTTTTTGGGAGGCGGGGGCTCTGAGACGGACGAGGCAAACATCTGGGATTTGGCATACAAGGCTGGCCAACGAGTCGTCATCTGGCCGTTTGCGATGCCCTCAAGCCGGTGGCAAGGCACCAAAGAATGGATCGCCAGCTCTTTGATGCGATTCGGCACGTTTCAGTCCATTTCGCTTGGTCTTGAAGGACCCGACTTTGGACTTTGCGACGCCGACATTGTCGCGATTCCGGGCGGAAATACCTTTCGGCTGCTGCATCACCTGCAGAAGCATAATTTGCTGAGCGCCCTGCGGGGCTTTTTGGACAAGGGCGGGCGCATCTATGGAGGTAGTGCCGGCGCACTCATCCTCGGGGCCAGCATCTCCATTGCGGACAGTAGCGCGGGCGGGCAGGACGACGACATCATGGGCGATCTGGAGAACCTGCAAGGGTTGGACGTGCTCCGTGGCTGCGTGGCGTACCCTCACTTTGAACTAGGCGTCGACCGGTTCGAGGGTCACTGCCACCGCTGGAGTCTGGAGCATGGGGTGACGGTGATTGGCATGCCAGAGAGGTGCGGCGTCGAGTTTGGTCCTTCAGGGCGCGCGTTGAATGCGGGGCCGTCGCCAGCATATGTATTCACACCCGACGGGCGACGAATGGTTTGGGCAGCGAATGCGACACTTTCATTCCCTCTGTGCCCTGATGTGTATATATAGTCCTGAGCTCCCGACCTTCTTTATGCTGCTTATTCTCTTTGGGCCATTTCGAGCACGCGTCAATGATTGGGTTTGCTGGGAGGTGATGGCCAGTAGCGACAATGCGTCGAGACAAGGCTGCGCCTTGGTGCATGTCCCTGTCCTCGCAGCTTGACCTTGAAAGCAGAAGCGGCGAGATAGCCGCCAAGGAATGTGGCCTGAACTGGGTGCTGGCTTGTACGTCAACCGGCTGAGCATCTTTCGAGGTGAGGTCTAGAAGAAAAAGACTGGTGATGGCCGCACCAGCGGCGTTATTATCCGAGACGTAGCTGAGCGGATCAGCGGATTGACCGAAAAGAGGCGGTTCTTAGTAGTTTTCTCCTCGCGCCACACAGCATATCGGCTTGAAATATTGTGCGTTGACAGGCATTGCGGTTACACAAGACTGGTGCGGTGTGATGAGCGTGGGGTGGCGCGTTCGTGGAGTGGAGGGGAGGGCCATGGGGGCTGCAGGATTTCGGGGGCCAACGAGAGACAATTGGATTGTGTCTGAGCGTCAATGTTAGTATTTGTTTTGTGCTTGTTGGACATGGCAAGAAAAAAAAAAGAAATCACACGTTATGATTGGTGGTCGCGTGCCGCGGAGCACGCCGACGGCAAGGACTAGCCGGCGCCTGGGCTAAGCAGACGGCGATCCGGAGAAGCGACAACAGCAAGAAACAAAGCCACACCAAAAGGTGGGATATCCGTGCGCAGCCATATTTCAGACGGAATGGCCCGCGGAAGGCTTGGAGGGAGGAGGAGAAGGGCTTTCGCCCAACCCCGGTTCCCCATGGCCCACGGCAAGCCCACACAATGTGCAGACGGGCTGTCATGCTGCAGGCTGTAGGTAATTTGCTGCAATCCGATAGGGCCAACGGCTAATGAAGGTGTGATGCTTTGGAGGATGCGACAAGGCAGGGTGTGCGTGCATGTTAAGGCAAGGATGGCGACAAGACGACTGCAGTCGAGACAAGATTGAGTTGCCGTTGCCGCCAGCTGCCAACTGCCAGCTGCCAGCTGCCAGCCGCCTGCTTACCTACCTACTTATGTACCTATCTACTCAGGGTATTCTGCGACGGCCGGTTTTTTTTACATGCATGCGCCTTACACCATCATAATACTACTGTCTTGTACCTATATAAAAGGGTGCCGAGTGTCCCATAGTTATCTGCCTTCTCCTGCATTCGCAAACGCGGTTGCTGCCAACAGACTGCAACTGGCACCCGGATTCGCAAACGACGACTCTTCACCATGGAGACGCCAGACATGATCGCCGGCCTCACCTGGAACCTGGCCGTCTGCACCTCTCTCGCATGCTGGCTCGTCTACGCCGTCTGCTTGGGCGTCTACCGGCTGCGGTACAGTCCCATTGCGCACCTGCCCGGCCCCAAGCTCGCCGCGCTGACGCAGTACTATGAATTCTACTACGACATTATACTCGGTGGCCAGTACACCTTTCGCATCGTCGAGATGCACAAGGAGTACGGTCCGGTCGTGAGGATCAATCCCTGGGAGGTCCATGTCAGTGATCACGACTTTCACCCGGAGCTCTACGCCGGGCCGCACCGCCGTCGCCACAAGTGGTTGTTCTGGGCAAAACAGGTGAGGAAGGCTCTTTATGTAGAAATAATAATGGACTTTTGCTGACCTCTCTATAGTTTGGAGCTCCTCGTACGTAACAGCGATGCCGCCTTTCTCGGCACATTCTGACTCTGCGTAGACAGTGGCTTGGCGACTCTAGACCACGACCATCATCGACTCCGACGAACCCCTCTGAATCAATTCTTCTCGACCAAGAGCGTTCGTGATCTCCAACCCATCCTCGAAGAGCGGGTGGATCGGCTCCTGGGTCGCCTGCGCGACGAAGGAAAGAAACGTTCGACGGAGCCGATGAATATCATGTATCCGTTCTCTGCTTACACCAATGGTGCGCTTCCTTGTGTATCACTGAAACGTAGCCAGAGCTAACAAGCGCATACAGACGTCATCAACGAATACGCATTTGCGCGCAGCGACCATCTCAGTATGCACGCGAGCCGGACTATGCATCAAAGCACTAACGCATCGCAGTCGAGGAGCCCGACTTTGGCGCTCACACCACGGACAGCCTGCTCCAAGGCACACATATGGGGGCCCCATTATCAAGCACATGAACTGGGCCCTTACCCTCGTCAACGCCCTGCCGGAATCAATTTCCGGTCGCTGGGTACCTGGTACGTCGTTTCCTCTGCCAACACCGCGAGCATGAACTCACAGTCACAGGTTGGGACGGCTGGCTAAAGCTGAAAAACGATGTACGCCACCAAATTGACGACATCAAGGCCACCAAGGGCACCAAGCACTGGGAGCTCGACGTTAGCCACCCGACCATTTTCCACGAGCTGCTATCTTCAGATCTACTACCCGATGTCGAAAAGGAGACGGCGCGGCTCGCCCAGGACGGCCAGATCCTTGTCCAGGGCGGCACGCTGACCACCTCCTGGACGCTCTCCCTCGCCGTCTTCCACCTGTGCCACCGCCCTGAGACACTGACTCGGCTGCGCGACGAGCTCTTCGCGGCCATACCGGACCGCAACGCCGAGGTGCCCCTGGCCCAGCTAGAGAGCCTACCGTACCTGCGCGCCGTCGTCAAGGAGGCGCTGCGGCACGGCGTCGGCACCAGCAGCCGGCTCTCGCGTATCGCGCCCGACGAGTCCTTTGACGTGGCTGACCCCGCCACCGGGCACTCGCACCACATCCCCGCCGGCACTGTCATCAGCATGAGCCCGTACCGCACCATTATGAACGACGTCATCTTCCCGGACCCGCTCGGCTTCCACCCGGAGCGCTGGCTTGACGAGGACGCCCGCCTCGACGGTTACCTCATCATGTTTGGCGGCGGCACCCGCGTCTGCCTGGGCCAAGCCCTCGCCCAGGCCGAGCTGCATCTCATGCTCGCTAAGCTCTTTCGCCGCTGGGGCAGCGGAGGTGTCGTCGGCGGCGACCCGACGGGCGACCGCCGCGAAGGTGACATTGGCATGTTTCGCATCTTTGAGACGACACCGCGAGACTGCCAGATGGCGTCGGATTATTTTATCCCTATTCCTTACAAGGTACGTGGCCTGAGCGACAAAGACAATGAGGTAAAAGCTAATGATTTCGTAGGGAAGCAAGGGTCTGCGATTTCTTCTGGAGGCATGTTGATAAGCACTGCGGAGAAGTGCGGATGTACTTGCATCACACAATTTATCACGGGATGCATGTCATAAAGCCGGTATTAGCTTGAAATCATTTCGATCATATTAATGGTTCTCGTCAACTATTTAATCTTTGCACTTTTTTGTTCGTTTGCCACGCTATGCACTTGTCGTTGCGGAAGGATCTTTACTAAAACGATGCACGTTTAAAGTGCCACATGAGCTCAAGTCATATTACACCGTCGACTTTTAGTAGTCGACACGTGAACCAGCCCCTGGCTAAAAGGAACCGCGTCGATACGCATGTTGCTCGTGAGACTTGTCGCGTGATGCAACTTGGCCAGTCGCCCGCTGGATGGTCGCACGTGGGGAACATCAACGGAACACCGAGTTGTATGGCAACAACCGCATTTCGACTCAGGAATAACCCCCCAAAGGTTAAATGACTTTTGGTACCCCGGTTGTGACTCTCAGCAGGGGCTGTGTAACTGATGTATTTAACGTTACTTGGGCGCTACAGGAGGACTGAGGCTTGAACATGCAGACAGTTCTGGCAGTACTGAGTGCTCGAAGAAGACATTGGGTAACGGCAGCTGACTTCGGTTTAAGTTCAAACTAGATCAAGCATCTCGAAAGATAGTCTGCTGCCTCCCGCCAATCGCTGAGTTGGCTCCAAACTCTCTCGCAGGGGACAAGGAGCTGAAAGCCTAACATCTACAAAGGGGGAACTATCAGGCTGACCCTAAACGCCAACTTACCCAACTTATCGGAGTCTCTTTCAGGGGCGCAACTCCAAATCTCATAAGCGCCTTCGGAGAATAGTCCGTTAGTTCGCTTGACAACTCGATCCTTTGTTCATCTCGATCCTTTGTTCATCTCGATCCTTGGTTCATCTCGATCCTTTGTTCATCTCGATCCTTGGTTCATCTCGATCCTTTGTTCATTGGCCCTTTGCCCTCCAGCCACCTCCATGTGAAGCGAATAAAAGGAACCGAGGAGAATAGAGCGAGCTAGCGCAGGAACGTCGCATCTATCCGTGCGACCAATCTCTACCCTCGCCCAATGACAATCGGGCGCCACATCGCCAACACGGCTGGAGCGGCATCCCTCGTCACTTGGCAGCTGGTCCTTCCTATCTCGGCCGATGCCACCTTCTCAGCTCTATCGTTACCACACCAGGGCATGTGCATTCTCCGGCCCCGTGCCCAGAACCTGCCATGACCGGTCCGGACTTGGTCCGATTGAATGGACTCGGGGGCCGACTTGATTTTTTCTTATCCGTGGTGGCGGATGCCGTCATAGTATGTAACGTCTCCTCCTTGTTGGGTGATGGTCTACTCGGTGGCAGCCTCTCTCTGGAATACGACCTCAAGCGCTGGCGACTAGTACCCCGAAAGGCAGGTCATCATGACCAGTGTAGGATGCTCGGAGGTGTAATCGGGCCATTGCCAACATTTCTGGCAACAGTGTTCTAGAAGAATTGTTTGTGATATATATGGTGAGACCTCCCCGGTGACGATGTTCTCGCACATTCCAGGCGTTGATCACAAAGAGACCGTCCTACAATGACCTCTGACATTCCTTTTATTTTCCCTTCGTATATTCATACCATTCCTTTTATTTTCCCTTCGTATATTCATACCATAACACCTTCTACATATTCTATTTACCATAACACCTTCTACATATTCTATTTACCATAACACCTTCTACATATTCTATTCATACAATCCTTTATAGTATTTTCAACTTTCACAAAACGAGATGCGCTCCTTGTCTCTTCTCGCCCGCCTCGGGCTCACCAGCCTCGTCGCCGCTTCCACCCTGGCCGTCCACCAAGCGCCCGGCGCGCAAAACGTCGTCTACTGGGGCCAAAACGGCGGCGGAACCATTGAGAACAACGACCTCGGCGCCTACTGCCAGTCCAACTCGGGCATCGACGTGCTCGTGCTGGCCTTTCTCTACCAGTTTGGCCATGACAACACCATCCCGTCGGGCACCGTCGGCCAGTCGTGCTCCATCAGCAACGCCGGCGCGGGCCAGAACTGCGAGGCGCTGGTGGCGGCTATTGGCAAGTGCCAAGCCGCCGGCGTCAAGATTGTGCTCTCGCTCGGAGGCGCCACCAGCTCGTACTCGCTGCAGTCGCAGGCGCAGGCCGAGAAGATTGGCCAGTACCTCTGGGACTCGTACGGCAACTCGGGCAACACGAAGGTGCAGCGCCCATTTGGCAAGAATGCGGTGGACGGCTTTGACTTTGACATTGAGCTGAATGGCGGCAGCAGCCAGTACTACCAGTACATGATTGCGAAGCTCCGTCAGAACTTTGCCAAGGACTCTTCCAAGAAATATGTCATTACGGGTGCTCCCCAGTGCCCGATTCCGGAGCCTAACATGGGCGAGATTATCGCCAAAAGCCAGTTTGACTACCTCTTTGTCCAGTTTTACAACAATAACAACTACAGCGTCCCGTGCGCTCTGCCCATCAACGGCAACGCGCCGTTCAACTACAATAACTGGACCAGCTTCATCGCCTCGACGCCGTCCAAGGATGCCAAAATCTTCATCGGCGTCCCGGCCTCGACCCTGGCGGCCAACGGCAGCCCCAGCGGCGCCACCTACTACGCTACGCCCGCCCAGCTGGCGACCATTGTCAACGACTACAAGAGCGACGCGCACTTTGGCGGCATCATGATGTGGAGCGCGGGCTTCTCCGACTCCAACGTCATCAACGGCTGCACGTATGCCCAAGAGGCCAAACATATTCTCGTCAACGGCGGTCCTTGCGGCTCCGGCGGCCCGCCGCCTCCTAGCAGCACCACCAGCGCTCCGCCCGGCGGCAGCCCGG